CATGGTAGAAATATTTTTAAAAAAATATTTATTACCCCCCCATAACTAATTTTATGAAAACGCTAGAAATTCGATCACATCGGTTTTAGTGATTACAATAATTAAAAGCACAGGGCTTTGAGGAATGCAAATCATTTTTTTTTGTTTTTAATTGGATACGCAGTATCTGAAAATCAGCTCTGAATTGTAACATACAAAACTCAATAAAACAAATATATTATTTAATTTCAAATGCTTTTATTTGCTTTTAGTTGTTTTTATGAATATGGACAATATTTTCTGAAAGCAAAAAAAAAATTTTTTCGATGAAAATGAATTTTTAATACAATTATTTGTTATTTCATTAATTATAATAGATTTTATTTTTGTTGTTAAAATATTATAAAATTAGTTAAAAGTCAGATCGGCTTTCATAAGTGTCCTTATGAGATAGATCTTTTTTTAGCAGCGTTATAAATTGTATCATTTTGACTAATCAGAAGATACCCAGTAATTAAGAAATGTAATTTTGTGCTTATAATCGAGCTGTAATTATAAAATACGGAAGACCAACCAGAATAAAATTAAGCTGCGTTATTTGAGTTAAGCATTGTTCTCCGCTGTTAAGGCCTTTACTTTTGCAAAACACGTGGAGAAGTTAATTTGATTTTTCAATTTCAACTGAGAAGGGTACCTACAAGTATCAGTATCATCTTATGAAATTTATATGATCTTATTTTTATATTAATCTCAGTTACGACATTTTTCCATAAATGAAATATCAAAATTAATAATAAAATGAATGAAAATACAAATAACAGTAGAATGTAATAAATGTACATAAAATTATAGTATTTTATGTACAATTCTGATAAAATTTCATAAGAAAGGTACCTATAAATTAATTAGATACCTTTCTTAAGAAATATGAAATTTAATGTCACTCTTAACAGTTTTATTTTAATTTCTTTTACAATATATTTCCCATAAAGCATCATAAACGTAAAGGTGAAAGCTAAGTACAAAAAAAAAAAAAATTAGACCGCTGAAAGTTTTTCGTTAAAAATAACGGGTAAATAATTTGTTCATGTAAATGTAAATTATTTCACTTTTCTCCTTCTGTTGAACAAATTAGCCTCATGGAATTCGTAAATATATCATTCATCACATGTCAAGAGACGCGAAAGTTTATGACCTGCTTTGTTTTATTTTCAAATTACATCTTTTTGGCACAAAAGCTAAGTTAAGTTTGGTTCAAAATATTTTAAATAAACATTATAATTTCTGATTTTCTTAAAATAAGTTTTGAAAAAATGATAATTGATATTTAAAAAATTTCAAAGTCAGATTTCCAGTTTTTTTAAAATGGAAAAAAATGGTCAATTTTTGCTAACTAAAAAAAAAAACTAGATTTTTAACGAAAATTTCGGACGTGCTAGGAACGATTAAAAATGGAAAAAAAACCCCAAAATACTTTGACCTTTCCTCTTAATAATAACAAACATTTAGACGATAAAATTTTGTTTTCGTCAAGTTTGGCGTCTTTTTCATCATGCTATGCTCTTTTTTTAGCGATCTCATGGAGGTACCTATGATAAATAAACATGTTACAAACTACTTTATCGTAATTTGAGATTTACTTGACCCTCCCTCCCCTACACACAGAGTCGTATTGTGACACAAGGTCGGTTTAATGTGGGGAGGCCAAGTGCGTACACCCGTTCTTTCCTCAGAATGTACCTTATATACTTCAACTATTTCTGATGTTAAGTATATGTTTTTTCCACTTTCTTTAAAACTTCCTTATTGCTCACATGTTCAGTCCATGGTATTCTCAGCATCATTCTGTAGAACCAGCACATTTCTGCTGGTTCAAGTCTTTTCTTCATCTGTGAGGAGAGTGTCCAGTATTCACTGCCATATAGAAGGACAAATATTACATAACAGTTCAGTAATCTTTCGTTGTTTCTAATGAAATTTTCTTGCTTCATAATACTACACTGAGCTTTTGGATGGCATCTTTCTTTATTCCAAATGTGCCTTTGGATTTCAGTGTTGCATTTTACGTCCTCTGTTAAAACAGTTCCTTGATATTTACAAATAGGAAACGAGAGTTTTTGAGGAGAGAAAGAAGAGAAATATGGTGGGGTCAGGAAGCAAAAACACTTTTCCCTGGCCCGATTCTTCTCGTTTGCATCATAAGTCACTTCCTACTAAGCAAAGAGTTCACAGTACAATGCTCTGATAACATACAGGTCTACCATTGAGAGAAGATTCTCAGCCTATTTGCTTGGCTTGTGTGATCCACACAACTTACACTACATTATTTGGACTATTGTCCTCATCTTTGTTGCCATATTTATCACAACATTTCAGCCCTTCAGTATCTATATTTCTGAGATGAAGTATTATGTACACTATTTACATTATTCGGACTATTGTCCTCATCTTTGTTGCTACATTTATTACAACATTTTGGCCTTCTTCAGGTGGTTGGAATGTCAGACTGAACCATTCATTCCAACCACCTGAAGAAAGCTGGATCATACAATGGCCGAAACGTTGTAATAAATATGGCAAAGAAGGCTGGAGCGTACAACGACTGAAATGTTGTAATAAATATGGTAAAAAAGATGAGGACAATAGTCTGAATAATATAAATAGTATACATAATACCTCATCTCAGAAATATAGCCACACAACTTAGTCTGACACAAGGCCTCAAATTTACCTCAGTGTAGCTCAAACTCATTCCAATAGTTATAGTGTAGGAAAAAGGATTTCTAATCACTGCTCCATCATATACTTTCTTAGTATTTACAAAGATTCTCAGTATGAATCATCCAAAAAGATTGAACTTACTATACAGGGGGTGCTGAAAAGTTCTCAGTCTATTCCATTTCCGCATATTAGACCAAATAACCAAATATCAGGTATTTTTTGTTAAAAGGGCTTTTCAACACCCTCTTATATATGAGTAACAAATGCTCAGAGAAAAGAATTTGAAATTTCCCAACATATTTCAGTGAAAATTTCACTTACCAAAAGTATGATTAATAATTTAATATGAAGAAAGAGGGCATCAATAAGTAAAAGGGGGGGTACTCAGGTAATAGTTATCTCCCTTTGACAACAGCTTCTCTCAGCCCTTTTGCACGAGAGAGAATGTGAGTGAACAAGTGAGAATGAAACAAAACACAAAATCTTAATAATCATTATTTTTCTCATTAATTCATGTGTGTTATTCAGAAGACCAAACAGGCTACATGTGACCCATGGGCTGCGGTTCATCCATGACTGGTTTAAACTGATACCAGGAAAATATGGATTAAATATCAATGTTGGTCTTATAAATTTACATTTTTTTTAATTGAATAACAAAAGAAAGTGAAAAGGTTTTCAGCTAGTTTAAACTGACACTAAAAGGAGGAGCAGCATCTGTTTGTCATATTTACCTGGTGTCAGTTTAAACTGACAGTTTCTTTTTTACATGTATTGTGACTATTTTGTCAAAAGTTTGTATTTTCTCGATTTCAGATGAAAAGTTGGAAATTTGCTAACATATTTCAGTGAAATCTTCTCTTTTCAAAATTATAGCTTATAATTATAATTTAGACATATAGAAAAAAGAAAACATTAATTTAAACTGATGCCACAAGCATATGAGTTAATAGAGTTTGAAAATTTATAAATTTTATTTTGATCAATTAAAAAAAGAAAATAAAAAGTTTTTATTTAGCAAAGAGTCAACTGGAAACATCACCCAAGGCCAAAAAAAGAAAGAAAAATAAGCAAAGTTGATTGAGAAATGATCAAAAAAAGAAAGAAAAAATAAGCAAAGTTGATTGAGAAATGATCAAAAAAAGAAAGAAAAAATAAGCAAAGTTGATTGAGAAATGATCAAAATAAATATAATCTGTTTTATCTGGTATGGAATACTTATAGAACAATAGTTCATACTCTTATATCAGAGACTATTGATATTTGATCTTTATTCTAAGCTAACTTAGAAGGCACCCCTTTGGGTGGACTTTATGCTAGATCCTGTAGAGGGCTTTTGGTCCTCCAGCCTTTTACCTTCACAGTCCTATGTATGTAAAATTATAAGAATTTAGAAATAATAAAATTATTTTATCTTTATTTGACACCTTAATTTGACATAATCATTCTTCATATACTCAAATAATCTCTTTACATTTATTTTGCACACAACTTTTATTTTCTTTTAAAATCACCATTCTTTATGAATACTTGTTGTGTCGGAAACCTACCACCCCTCTTGAAGATGAACTTGTCTGCGTCTGTGAACAAAGACTTTAAACAGTAACATGTCAGTTGACATGGGGAAGACAGTTAGACAGAGAAGTTCTTTGCTGAGCTAGTTATTGACTACTCAAGCGATTTCTGTACCTTTTTACCAACTTATTAAAACCCTTTTTATTGTTACGTGTTATTTGGCGTTTGTCTCTATTAACCCCAAATCAACATCATAACAATACTTCACATAAAGTCACTCTTAAAAGACATTAGGAAAACCAAACTATGTAAAACAAACAATGTGCATACACAAAATTAAAAATATAAAATTTACCCATCGCACCCTGTAATGATTTACTGATACAAGTCCTACTAAATAACCCATAGCTGGGGGAAAAAGAGGTGGATTCATACATTTCACAAGGGTATTTGTGAGTAAGTGAATATAACAAGCCTAACTGGAGTTGAAACTCAGCTCTCTGATTTCCAATTCTGAGCCATTATCCATTACACCACCTGCACATCCAAGGTTACAGCACCTGGTATTCTCAAGTGGTCACCCATCTAGGTACTGACCAGGCTTGATGTTGCTTAACTTTGGTGTATGCCGCCCACATATCCAAGCTTATAGCATCTGGCATTCCAAAGCAGTCACCTATCTAGGTACTGCCATGGTCAACATTGCTTAACTTAGGTGATTGTATGAGAACTGGTGTTTCAATGAGATATGGCCATAATTTCTTTATGTCACCTACAGACCCAAGCTTACAGCATCTGGTATTCTAAAGTGGTCACCCATCTAGGTACTGCTCAGGCTCGATGTTGCTTGACTTTAGTGATCATATGAGAAACAGTGTTTGGCTCTAAGCTGAGTGGTTCTAGAGCTTGGATTTCTGTAATTGATGATAGCAGCAAGTGGAAGAAATCTTAAATTACTGCAGACATCATGTAACCCTCTTAAGAAAAATAAACAAACAAGTCTTTTTTTTAAGAAGTGGGAGGTTACAAAACAGATTAGATAGACAAAATATGAGTAAAGTAAAAAAATATTTGAATCTCAAGGTTTCAACCATGGGGGTACAGAAAGACCCCATAGTTCAAGTTAAATTATATCATGCCGCTTGAAATGAGCTGATGAGGAATAAAAGATGGATTCTGTTTCACAATTCCGTCAAGTAGTCACCATCACATCTTAACAATGACTTCCGACATAAGCATTTTTTTTTTTGCTTCCCACCCTCCAAGAAACCTTCTTTCCCAGATTCTGTCTGTCTGTCCTAGATTCTGTCCTTCTTATAAGTCTGCTAGTTATTTACAAGCTTTGTGCTTTCCTTAACCTTAACAAGTGACCCCATAAGAGTTTCCTTTACCATTTATTAGCATAGATACTTTGGCCTATATCACTGTTAAAGTGCTAAATACATATGACCTCTTTATGTCAGAGTAAACAGCAATATTCTCATTCTCTCTAGATATATACACTAGAATACTGCCCTTTAAAAATGACAATAATATGAACATATGGATTGGCACACTTGCTTAGGATCAGTAAAATAACTGAGCATTCTGCAAAAAGCACTAAGTGCACACTGACAATATATATATATATATATTTTAGGATATTACAACAAAAATGTTAAAAATCGCTACACAATTACAGTTATGTTTCAACATTACAAATGTGTCTCCTTAGGCAATGGTAAACTACTGACTCGCTAGTAGTTTACTATCACCTGAGGAGACACATTTGTAGCGTTGAAGCATAATTGTAATTGTGTAGTGATTTTTAACATGTTTTTGTTTTAATATCCTAAAATAAATAATATTTAGCTCTACTCTGTATTGAGCCCACTTTTAAATTAAATGTTATGGACAGTGAAATTATACTCCATTTGATCTCATTTTACCTGAATATATATATATATATATATATTTAATATATATATATATATATATATATATAAAATATAAAAGTGAACATTGAAGTCAACACTCAGAAGTGACAGACTGTTTCATGCTAAATGCAGTCATCAGGCCACATGCATTATATTTTTTCTCGACTATATATACAGGTTAGTGGCACATTGTGGGTAGTCTATTCTAACAGTTATTTTGGCGGCAGTGGTTTGTTAATTTGTTTCTTATTTATTTATTTATATATTTGTTTATTTGAATTTATTTTACTTGTATTTTCTTTTTATTTATTTTTTGTTTTTGATTTATATATATATATATATATATTAGGATTAATACAAATATAAAATTTGTTACTTGATTGATGCTATATTCATCACTCTGACTCCTGAATTTTGTAGACAAACCTTTTTGTAATCCTTCAGTCCACTCATCGGGAGATTTCAGCATCTGACTGCCAATTTTCTCCATTGGGTTGGCTAAAAATTTTGTTTGGCTTATTAAATAATTTTTTTGCTTAATAAGGCAACAAACTTTTAGGCCAACCCAATATTTAAAATAAATATAGAGGGATTAATTGCACCTGCTCGGACTAACGTTTTCCCCTGACCTAAAGTGGAAAAATTATATCGAATCAACTGCTAAATCTGCTGCAAGTAAAGTTGGTTCACTGTGTTGTGCCAGACAATTTTTCTTGCCAGAATCTATCTTTCACATTTATAATTTTATCCTTTGTCCATGTATTCATTATCGCTGCCACATCTGGTTTGGTGTTTCTGCTATGTATTTAGAGATTATTAATAAAATCTAAAGAATCTGCAATATTATTGTTCCTGACCTGGCATCTCAGCTTCAGCACACTTTCACAACACTATAACATAGCTTTCATGTGCCTTGAAACACCACTCATTACCTTCTGTCTTCCTGAATCCTGTTCTTTTAATGCCCTCTTCTCATTTTCTTCTACTTCCAGTGATGCCTTGCATCATAGTGACATTATCACCTTGCTTGGGGTGACAAAAAAAAGGAAAGAATATCACTTATGGAACTAAGGTTGCATGTTGGTATATACTGCAGCTATGTGTGTGTGTGTGTGTTCACATGTAAATGATTAAAGAAGAAGCATAGAAAAACTTGGTTTCTACTATGGCCATTTATTTTTTTTTATGGTGCTGGTAGGGAAGCAAAGTTCTCAATGTCTCTTGGATATTCCATTTCCTTTTTCTGGTCCAGAAGCAAATTAGGGTAAGTAAGGATAAGAATGATCAAAATGGTCAAGCTCAAGTCAGCTTTGTGCTGAATTGGAACAGCCAAATTACTTACTTCATGAGTGGACCTGCAAAACATGTTCAAACACTATGCATTGGAAAGGGATAAGAGAGAGTTTCTTTTTCTTGTCCTTTGTGAAGTGGTGTTTTTGTTTTTGGTTCATAAGTTATGGCAAGTAAGGATAAGCATCATTATAAGGGATGAGCTCTAGTCAGCCTTGTGCAGTTTTGGAATGACCAAAGTAAAGTTTGTACTTATTTCATTGCTGAAGGTTTAAGCATGGTTAAAATGGTCGAATGTAAATCAATCTTGTGCTGAGTTGGAACAACCAAAGAAAAGGTTGATTTATTCCATAGGTGTAGGTTTTGAAAGACATGTGCAAATGCTATGCATTGGAAAGAGAGTTCAGTTGTCAGTGAACCAGAAAAAAGCATGTGCTACAGAAGGGAATGTCTTTGTCTACCTTTTGCTTAATCTTGGAGCAAAAAAGAGGAAGAGGAAGGAAATGTTTGTCTTCTCATAGAACTGAAACAGCATCACCTAATGGATGTTTGGCAAAGCCAAGTGGAATAATAAAATTTCCAGTTCATTTGTCATATCCTGTCAGCACTCCCCCACATTTTTAAAAAACAACTGGAAGAAAAAGCTTAACTAGCAATTGTTGTGAAAATGATTCTAGATAAAAAAAAGGCCTTGAAAAATACCACTCTGAAGTCCTGATAACTAGGATGACTAAGTGTAGAACCACTTCCAGCAGCTGACAGCTGGCCCACAAATCCAGTCATCAGCAGCAGTTCCAGCTCACTCTCGCTTTCTGCTACAGCCATCTCCAGTTGGCCTCTAGGCCTGGTTGCTCCAGCCGTCCTCACCAGCAGCAACAATATACAATAATCTGTCCTTTTCAGGACAACACTCTTCAGTAACTGCAAAACTGTGCTTTTCAGGACAGCGCTCTTCAGCGACAGCAAAACTGTCCTTTTCAGGACAATGTTCTTCAGCGACTACCAAACTATCCTTTTCAGGACAATGTTCTTCACTGACTACAAAACTGTCCTTTTCAGGACAATGTTCTTCACTGACTACAAAACTGTCCTTTTCAGGACAGCACTCTTCTCAACCTGTACATGAACATCCAGAGATATTTTTTACCTTGTGCACTGTTACCTTATTTTTGTTGATGTGTTTTCTTTAATAAAAATAAACTTGACAATATATTTTTTCTCAAGTCTTTGTTTTGTTTACTGTTACCTTCTGCCATTCAATATCTGTTTGCAGGCCAACATACCACTTGTAACACCTTTATTAATAACATCATGGGAAAATATATTTCTTTTTTATTCTTTTTTATTATTTTATTTATTGATTTTATTTCATTTTCCCAATATTGTTTTGTCATATTCTCATACAGCAACAATAAAAATGACATTGAATGAAATTAAGAACTAGGCTATTGCATATTTGTCTATATTTCTGAGATGAGGTATTGTAATTATTTGCACTATTTACACTGTTGTCCTCATCTTCATTGCCATATTCATGATGTCTCTTAGCTGATTGAACCACAGAGGATACAGGTTCGATTCCTGTCGGAGGATGAACATTTTCTATGAAAGTTTCTCGGACATTCAGGCCGGTAAATGTTATAAATACTGTTTATTATAAACAGAGCATTTACTTGAATATTTGTATCTATAAAAAGAAACATAAAAATGTCTTAAAATAGAGTTTTATCTATTTGGGTTTCTGGTTCCTTCTAAATTCTACTTCAATTCTATATTTCTGATGTCTCTACCTAAACACTGAAATTTATACTATTATTGGGTTTCCAATTCCTTCTACAGTTTTTTTCCTTCTCTTTTACTTCCAGTAGGTCCTTGTGTCTTAGTGGCATTATTGCCTTGATTTGATGAACTGAATGTCCAATCCAGACTTTCCAGCTTTATATTCACAATGCTTCTGCCATCTTTTCCCATTAATGTACCTTAGAATCTCATTAACTTCAATAGACACATTACAAAAACTCCACTGCAGATAGTAAAATCCACTGTAAAAGCACTTATGTTTAAAGGTTTCAAATTAAAAAAAAAAAAAAAAAAAAATCAATCCCAGGTTTTAAAAACATCCTTAAATTATTTTTTGTTTTCACAAAAAAGGAAAGTCGCAATTTTTGTGTACAAAATTATTCATTATAATGAAATGTTTATATTTACTTTTTTTTTTACTTTTTAACTCAATTAAGCTTAAAAGCAAGGTGATAATGCCACTAAGATGCATTATAAAATAATCGTTGAATGCTCCAGTCTTTTTCAGGTGTTGTGGAGTAAATATTTATTTCATTTTCCCCACACACTTTTACCTAATTGCTTACACACCATGATTGTTTCTCTTCAGCCTATTTTAAATTCATTTTCTTCTGTTTACATGTTAATACTGGTTTTCATTTGGCTTTTCTGTAAATCCCAATTCATTCAGCCAATTTCTGACAGTTCTATCAGCAAATATTGACTCCTGTTTCAATATATTCGTATTTGTTTTATTGTACATTTACTATTTTTCAACGAATATTGCTTTGATGTCTTTCACAGTGTGCCAGTATGTTTTTCTTTTTTAACCATCCCATTTCTTTCATAATTTTAGAACCAGCTGACTGAGAACTATCAACATCTTTTGTCAAACG